CAGAGGACGAGCAAGCGTAGTTATAAGTTTTTAAACCCTTATCTTCTCCATGCGAGCCTGAGGTTCTTTATGCTAATCTTTGGTCCGCTAACTTAAATGAGTTACATTTCTGTGTCCTGGTAAGCGATTGTTAAACGGTACTGGCTGTGAACGCCTGATGGTTTTCACGATGTCTGAGTGTATTTTTTTAACATTTGGATCTGAAATCCGAGTAATTGTATCCGTGGTAAAACCAACTGAAATACGGATCAGTGGGAGAGAAACCTGTAAACTTGGAAAGGAATACAAAATAAGACAGCCAAAAAAGAAAATAAATAGCAACGCGCACCGGACTAGCCGGTGCAATTATGCGTTTTTTGCAATTTAGCCCATCGAACGGTTACCTATTAGTGATTTTCGCTGCTTTGTACTTTAGTCTATGCAAAAATAGTTCAAACACTGGAAAGCAATTAAAAATCTCACGCACCAGCGCATGAAAACTGAATTCGAAACATTTAAGAGTGAAAATCTTTCCGTGATTCCCGAGTTAATAGTTTACCCGCCAAAATTCCTATGAGGCCGTAGGTGGTACTCAACAGCGCGGGAACGCTGAATTTGAATTGGCAAGGTTGAGCGTGAGCAGGGGGTCATTACTCTAAAATTTCAGCCTCCTGGACTCCGTGGTTCCTGAGATATTAGTTTACCCGTAAAAGACTTTCACGGGGTCGCACGTGTTACCCGCGGGTACGGGAAGGCTGAATTTAAATTTGCCGCGTCACCCGCTGACGGGGAACACTGTACCAAAATTTCAGCTGCCTAGCTTTTGTGGTTCCCGAGTTGAAAGTGCGGGACAAAATGTCGGACACAAGCACACAGACAACCCCTTGACAATATGCGTTTTGTAACGCTGTTACACAGCACAAAACGCATAAAAATTAGAAAACAGATTTTTGCTGTCAGATGTTTGCCTATCGCATCCATCTTTCACCAGCAGCCATGTTTCAGTTAAAATTCTGCTTTCTTCCCTTCTTTGCTCATTTAAGAAATTGTTGATTTTTCTCAGCTCTGGCATTTTTTTTTTCAGGTATTACATCTTGCGAAAATCACGGGTAATTTAGTAATTCGGCTGAACAATCACGAGCACACTGATCTGCAAGAATATATTGGTTCCTATGTTCCCGATGGGAACGGTCGTTTTGTGTTTGTCGAAGGTCCGTTGGTAAAAGCAGCTCGTGATGGGTATTGGATAATACTTGATGAACTGAATCTTGCACCTACCGACGTTATTGAAGCATTAAATAGGGTAATTCTAGAGATTTTTTTAAATTTATAAATGCAAGAGCGGAGAAGTGAGATGCCTCATCCAGTCCTTACACGTCGGGGCATTTTTGAATGAGGGAGACATACAAAATATTACTTCACATAGACCTTCAGGCCTTAGCTACACCAGACTTCTTATCGACTTTCTTCAGTCTGCTATATTTCCTTCTCTCTGCCAAGTAAATACGTGAAAGATGCAGTAAGTGTACAGAAGAATTGACGAGTGGTAGACGTCGACTTAATCGGTGAATATATAAAAGTTTAGCAGGCAGGCGTGCATACTGCTTATAGAGGATATCTCCCAAACTATGCTGATAAATGAAAAATCCTATTAGGGCAGGAATTAATAAATGACTGACGCACTGGCTGCTGGTATGAAAATGCTTTTTTTGCAACAGCTCCCCACAGTTTTTGTCGCTAACAACAGTGTTTTTTCCGGCAGATTTTCTAGATAACAGAATTGGGATTGGCCACCAGGGCTGTCTGAAAATATCCCCTTAAATTTTCAGTTTTCTAGTTTTTCAGGTTCCCGAGTTAGCCAATTACTCGCAAAGAATTTTCACGGTCCCGTATGTGGGGTCCATGCATACCTGGAGACTGGGTTTGAACTCACTAAGACCTACGTGGATGGGCAACATCCCTTTAAAATTCCATTCTTCTAGCTTTTTAGTTTCCCGAATTAGCCGCTTACCCGCAAAAAACTTTCACGGGCTCGTATGTGGGAAAAATGCACATTCTGGGGACTGGGTATGAACTCATTAAGACCTACGTGAACGGGGGACGCCTTTTTAAAATTTCAGCTTTCTTTGGGACCCGTACATGCATGTAGATTAGGTTTCCAAAGTTTCAGCCCTGTAGCTTTTATAGGTCTCGAAATGAAAAATCGGTATAGGCGCATGCACAGACAACTCCTCGGCAGTGTGCATTTTTGCACTGCACAGATGCAAAAAACGCATAACAGGGTAGTGAGGGGAAGAACCCCGTACTGTTATTTTTTCCACCTTCTCATTTCTGATCCCGTACCTCTTTCGCTATCTTTTCAGTTGAAATTGTTCCACGTTTTTGTCAGTTTGGGTGTCTTTTCTCTGTGTATTTCTAAGATGCGCATTCGCTTGCTTTTTACTTGAGTCTCGTTAGCGTATCGTTTAGCTTTTGGACGACAACCGGGAATTATATGTCGCTGAAACCAACACTGTTGTGAAAGCTCATCCTCAGTTTCGACTGTTTGCCACGCAGAATCCAGTGGGCTTGTATGCCGGTCGAAAACGCCTTTCTCGCGCGCTGTTGAATCGTTTCATTGTTTTACGATTCGATCAACTTCCCTACGAAGAGTTGGCACAGATGGTCGTTGTCAGGTGCAGTTACTCTTTCGTATTTTCAGAATTTCTTATCAAAAGGCTAACGTACATGCGTACTCCTTCAGAACGATAATTTATTTGTCCTTGTATTTTTAATATCAAATTTTTTAATATTCAGAATCGCTGATTGTCATTTGCTAATTTTTATCTTCTCTGCAGTTCTGTGGACAATTCTTTTGTTGCAGTTGTGGCATAGCTCCATCGGCAGCGAACGCGATGGTCTCCGTTTTTGTTGATTTGCGAGCGCAGCGCAGTACTTTTGGTGTTTTCTCGGCACGTGATGGTCTGATGACACTACGTGATCTATTCAAATGGGCCCATCGACTTTCGGGCTCTGATCAAACAGACTGGCGCCAGTCACTAGCAGAGCATGGTAAATTTGTTAAATTTTTTTAGCTCCGGCTTGTTGAAAACATACAGAAATTTTGATATCAGTGAGACGAATCAAAACGTCTAATAGAGCTCCGTCAGGCCTTGTAGTTTCAATACTTTGGTATGCTGGAGGGGTCGACGGTGGTCTGTTTTCACCGAATATTCTTTGGGGAAAGAAAAAGCTGAAAATTAAGTCAAAAGACGCAGGTGGTTGCATAGTTCTTCCGTTAGTTTAGTGAGGGCAAAAAATAACTTCCCAGAATACACTAAAAAGTGATAATCTAACCTAAATTTAGACGATATATTGGGTGATTGAAGGTGCATTTCAATTTTCTGGTTGAAAACCGAAGAAGTGGCACTCCTTTGACCAAAAATTACTTTATTTGATAGGCCACAGGAGGCCTCATATCAAAACAACCTTTGATAGGCCTCACACCAAAAATTGATTTACTGCATAACATTTCTTGTTCTGCCCTTATTCTACAATAGCCTTTTTAAGGGTAAGTAAAAATGTGACTAGAAAAGGTAAAAAGAGGTAATGAAGTAAATGAAAAGAATGAACAAGTGAAAATATAAATGGAAATAATAAATTAGGTAAGAAATGTTTCGATCCATTAAGTCGCATACATTTCTTTATCCTGTCGAAGTCTCTTGGCAGCTTTCATCGTGGCTCCACTGACGAGGAGCGGCATCGCCCTGCTAATGAGCCTTATTGTTGTCTTCTCTCGCCGCTTCATTAGAGCTGTGTCAGTTCTCTTATTTTCTCCATACTTTAACTCTCCTGTTGGGGAAAAGATGGAATTTTTTAAAAATTTACCAGTAAATGTATATAATGCGTATAATAATAAGTGTGTGTGTGATGTGTATAATTTGTAGGATTTTTCCTGTTGGGTGCACGATGTCGCAATGTTGAAGACTTGAAAACAGTGAAACGAACGCTGGAAAAGAATTTGAAACGTGAAATTGATATAAAACGGTTATTTTCGATCGATTCCCCGTATTTGCCTGATGAATTTTGTGGACGATCGACGATCGGAACAGTGGTCCTCGCCGATACCATCCGAATAATGCTTATTCTTGTGGCACAGTGCTGGCGGTTTTCTGAGCCTGCCCTGATTGTTGGTGAGACGGGCTGCGGCAAAACAACAGTGGCACAAATCATTGCGAAGGTAAGTTCTGCAGTTGTGGCAAGAGGATATCAGTTGAGGGTTGCTTAAGTATAAAAATTTATAATTTTCAGCTTTTCTGGTGAACCTTTGCTTGCGAGGTAGTGATTGGATACTGAGCGAAGGTAGGGGTTGGTACGGGCTTTGGCAAAACGCAAGACGATGCTGAAGTCATCCTGGCCTGGCAGGTTGAAAGTCGAGGAATTCATTGTGCTAAAAATGGTTGCTGCTGGCTTCCTTGTCAGAATTTAGCGCTACCTGTAGGAACAGAGGATACACAAAAATTGAAAAAAACCAGCTATTTTAAGGATGTAAATTTTTATATCTAAATGAAACGTGAAATGTCATAAATGCGAGCACCACAGTAACAGACGCTCCTTTCTCCTCCCTCGATCTCCATCGACCCAGTCTTCT